TGAAGAAGAGTGTTTAGAAACCAGAGACAATGAACGGACTTCATCCGAAGTAATGTTAATTCAGCAGAAGTAATTTCATTCTATATTCACTTTTTTATTTCCTTTATAGGTTGATATCCTGATATGAGCAAAGATCCAAAACTAACATACCTTTTGAAGTTCTCTGTCATCAGTTTATTGTATATTATAAAAAGTCTGTTTTTGATATTTTAAACTAGACTTGTTTTCGAATTAAATAAATTTTTGTTTTACAAGCACTTTTTGGTTACAGAAAAGCTCAAACCTTGAAAACGTGAGCTGATCCTTACTACCAGTTCAGATAAGTTGAGTTTGAAATATTAAAATCATTTTCTTTCTTTAACGGCACTAAACTTGCGTGATTTATAGAGAAATTTTGACAATGAATTTGTCTATCCTCTGGTTTAGCGTCAGGACGATGATTAGGAAGTGGATGGACGTTCTAGTGAATTTTATTTTTTGCTTAAAAGCGCATCACTAGATGCACTTTTATCTGATGATCACGAATCTGACCTTTTCTTTCCATCTTGACGGAGTTTTTCGGGAGAAAAACGCCAAATACTGCTAACTCCTTAAAAAAACGCCAAAAACCTTAGCTTTGAGAAAACTGCGTTTTTCTCCTCGCCGTTGCACTTTTCGATCTCACCAGTGTGATTTTTAGATTCCTCATGTAAAAATGGATCTATGCATGTGGTCTAGAGCCTGATCGCATATAACGTATCCGTTCTGGAAACACATAAGACTAAATTATTCCGTTGGCGCTCTCGAATTTTGCAAATCTGCCTAGCTTTTCGGTCAAGACATAGCGTCTTCACTCTTACGCCGTTCCTATTGCCAATTCGTGCGCAACAAACTAATGTTTCGTTTTTTAATTTTAATTTTCTGTGCTGAGAAAACCAGTTTTTCAAAGGAACTAAAACCTTCTTTTAATGATGCCTGATTGTAGCACGCAAATTTCTGATTAAAATGAGACATCTCTCAGCTCTACACGATCTTTCTTTGCAGAGTTATAGAATTTACAACAAAAGCCTGAAATTGAGATCTATTTAAAACAGTCTGTTTCTTCTACTTTGAGATTATCATAAAATTCGTTGCCTTCGTCAAATTTCACTTCATCTTCTTCATAGTCTTCGCCAGCACCACTCTCGTACAAGGGACCCGAATCCATTGATTCCTTTTATTTTTTCACGCACTATGAAACCTTTTTCGTGATACATATATACATGAACAACGGATCACCAGTGCCGTATTATTTTTCGCACCCATTTCACATTAGTTATGAAAAGGACAAAATGAGTGACGCTATTTAAAAACAACAAGGAACAAGTCCACCACTTACAAGTGACGATGATTGAGCCCAATATCCAAAATATTTTGCATATGGAACAAGAACATTTGCAAATAAGCTAAAAACGACACGGGAATTATGTTCATGGATGAAGAGAACACACCGTTAATTATCTTACTTATAAAGTGTATTATGAATTAAAATTAGTGAAGTAACATTGTATAGTTGTTCACAAAATGGCTTCCATAATCGATCATCTCGTGTGCTGGCGTAGAAGTACGAGTTTACTTGAGACAATCGACAAAGATCACGTGGCTCAAGATATTTTTCAACTAAAAACAGCAACTCATACGACAAAGTGCTCACATTAGACGAATTATCATTGGTCATATTTCTTTGTCTTAAAATCCAAATGAAATCAAAGAGTTTCGATGAGAATCCCTGAAGTAAGGAAAAGTTTAGATAACTGCAACTTATTAATAGCCATGCTAACAGACACAATTTCGCTTTATTCAATGTATCGGTGTGTCACCGTTATTACGGAAAGTACTAGTTTTAGATCATGTAATAACATAGATAGGCTGGAGATACGTTAGTATCAACCTGCTTTGACCGTTTCTGGTGTGGTGAAAAGAACAAAAGGAAAACTATTCGCGATCTCGTATGATTAACTCTTTCACAGTTATTTAACATAAATTGCGCTTCTATAAAACTCATATAAGTACATAAGAGTCGTTCATCAGTGTTTAACATATTTACCACCTTAGTCATAGTGTCTGTTACGATTCAACTCAGTTCCAGGATCAGACGATTATTCTGATACAAGTACGCCTTTAACGTTTTTATCTTTCCAACTGCTATAGAATAAACTAGTATCACAGCATCCGCAAACGTCTTTAGACCTACACACATTTAGAACTGATTTAAAAACATGCTCAAGTGGAATAATAATGTTTTTCCCTAAGTCCAAGTAAAAGTATCGTATCAATCATACAAGAGATTCTGCTCTTCAGTGCCCAGCATAAAATTAACTTTGAACTACAAATGCTAATAAATTATCTCCTCCTGACATGTTCTTACCACGTTTTCGTTCGAATAAGGTTAATCTTAACTCAGTCTCTACTGTCATATGTTAGTTTCTCGAGCACAATGTAAGATTCAGTTAATAATTTTCTTTAGCGCATTGTGAGACAGAAAACAACTTTCACCATCTTTTACAAACCGATTTTGGCATCATTTTAAACGACAAAGTCGTTCAGCACCATGAGATCTATCATATGTTGTAAGAACCGGACAATAATAGTGCATTTTCACCGTTTCCTGTACAGAATATGAATATTGTTATTTTTGAACGTATTTTTGTCGATTATCCACCTGATACACTACGCCAGATCTCAACTTTAGTCTTATACTGTCATTCATTGCATTATCGTTCCTTTACTTAGTATTTTCATTATTTTTAATGCATCTTTTATCTTTAGAGCACTGTGATAAAATGAAGGCAGATATGTCTTGAAAAGTCAGAACAGTGCTTTACTAGCCACAAAATTGCCTCGTCTTCTCTACTTCCGAAATTCCTCAATTCAGCGACTACAAACTTACCTCAAACTCTCTCCGTTATGAATAATTGATCATGGTTGGCGTGCGGGTGAGAGTGTTTAATGTAGAGGGTATTTTAATTAATCTGGTGACAGTGTTATTTTTAGAGAAGAATGTAAAACCTTTGTGAAAATCGAGTCTTATAAAAATGAATATTTCCAGGCTGATTTCACCTAACAGTGAATGAGCCACATCGCTCAGAAAACATCAGAATGAGTTAAAAACTTCAGATTCTGCATATTTCTGTCGGTTAAAGGAACTTATACGGTCAAAAATTGAAAAGCCATGTTTTTAGAAGTGTAATTTGAAGATAAGGACAAGTCGTGAAGAAATTGCATGAACACAGTTTGAGAAAGCAAAGGTTCAATTTTAAGCAAACGAAAACGTTATTCAAAAACTCTGAAAGACACATCTTTTGGCTTTGTTTTGAAGGAAATTATCAACTCTACCAGGTATACTATGGTAACGGTTACCCTATCTTACCGGTTACAGTCTAGTTCTTTAATAAAATATAACTCATATTTTCTTGAAAAATGTTTATTTATTAGGTGTGTCGAATGATCCCAACAGAACTGAGTCAGTTTCGACTTTACTCCCACTACTCAAAGTTCTATCGGATTTGGTTTATCATACTCGTATCCACATTACACAAGACAGATTCTGCTGAATTCTGACATATACAGAATCCATCCACTTTCATTCTGCCTGACATAGCTTTATGTCTTTTGCATACGCCCATTTTCATATATTTTAACTGTGAGATCTGTGTAATGTGTACATATGTCTGTGTCAATGTAAAAGAATTTACAATTCGGATGCCTGTTGATATCTGTGTGAGTGCACGAAGTTTTAATTCATGCTTAAAATTGTGCAACGCCCCTATCGAATCTAACTGCAGATCAGATATTGCCCAGTAACTCAAACATATACAACTGTCTCTCTTCCCGTATATATCATATGTAGGGTGTTTCGGCTGTTCTATATACGATTGATCACAACTATACAAAAACATACCTAAAAACCCTTTAATATTCCGGAAGAATCTCCATGACCTTGCTCCAGAACTTTTTATCGACATTGGTCTGAATAAAGTGATCGACAATCGCCAAGCGACCGTCGATATAACCAGCAAAACTGACATCGACATAACGACTGGGCACGGTAAAACTCTTTAGTTTTTCAGTCTTATCGCGTAGAAGTTTCCAATCGTCTAGTGTACCCAAGAAGTGAACATTGCGGATGCCACACAGAGTCTGCATATAGAAGGCGAATTCAAAATATTTCTTGAATGTATTCATGATGGCTAGACATGTAAGAAGCGATTCAGTTTTGGTAGTTGTGGAAAAATTTGTTGTTAGTAATTCGGTAACATCATTTTTCATATTCTTGCCTATTTCCACTCGCATGCGTTCGAGAAAATCATTCTAGCCACGAAATCACGAGCATCTTAACCTCTTTTCTTGAGCAATTCAACATACTCACTCGGATTCGACCATATCTATTTGCTCGATAGTCAACATTTTCCGACCGTTATGATCAACAAAAAGTGTGCGCAGTTGTTCGGCATTTCCATTGACATACGTAGAGAAATAGATGCAAATCATGAACCAAATATCGTCAGGAGATAGAACAATGTCCTCATGTGAATTGTAGGCAAAAAGAAAGGCGGAGAAAATTGCGTGTTTCTTTCTCATTTGATGATGTATCTAAACGCGAGGAGCTTTGTGTCGATTAAAAAACATGAACTAGATTCGTATGACTCACGTGGACCATTGGCGAAGATATGCTGAACCTTGAAACGTGCTTTACCGGCATACTGATTCACTTTTTCCATCCAGTAGTCGGCCGGCACACGGAAGATTCTTGGGGATGCATTGGTAATAATACATGCTGATCTTTGAAAGATCCGCACAAATGGTCACCGTACGATAATTAGACCGGACATCATTGTTGTTGGTCGAGGTAGCTACAGCCATTCATGTATTGATCTATTTTTTTATTATCTACAAAAGCATTCACCTGTGATGTAGAATAGAAGAAAAAACTGCTAGTATGCGCATAAACTTATAAAGCGATAGAAGATAACGAGAGAAAAATGAATGCATGCATCGCAGAGAAGGCGAAAGCGACATCACCCAGGTCGAACCCACACAGCAATAAGCTACAGTTTACGTAAAAATACGCCGAAAGGAACCGTGGAGAAGCATTACGACCGTCATAAAATGTGGTTTATGATGAAACAACAAAATACGATGACAGTATTACGTAATACTTCTCCACGATACACGCCAGATTACAACGAAATCCTATCGTAAATGTCAAAATAAGACGTCGTACTTTGACGTATTACGACCGTCGTAATCATCGTCGGTGTATGGTACAAGAAGGGGGGGTACAAAAGGTTCAACTCAAAGCTGCTCTCATCCACTTTTCGTTTCATAATATGGAAAGTTTCACAAAAGCGAAGTAAGACCATTCCGTTTACGACTGGACCGGTCACTGCCTGCACCCATCTACAAGCGGTCTTAATCTGTTCTGTCTATGAGCTAGTTTTGTAGCGCTTTTCAAGAACTACAAGGTGCAGTGTCTGCTATATAGTTATGGTCACTTTCCAAGTCTCGACGGAGAACTTTTGGAAAGTGATTTCCAGCTTCCTAAGGATGACTAAACGACCGAAAGGATTATAGCGCAGGTACGAATTTCTAATCGTCCTTAAGAAGTTGGAAATCACTTTCCAAGGTGAGAAACAGCAAAACAAATCTAAAATGAGTTTATGATGAAAGTCTGGAATTATTCTGAATAAAAAGGAAGGTTTTCAAGAGGAACGCCTTGCTGAAATTCAACTGGTTTTTTTCCAAGTTCTTCATCGAGACTTGAAAAGTGACCATCATATCGAGTTGAAATAGATTTGGCTGGAGTTTTTTTGCAGACGAGTTGAACAAAACTCTTTTTTGCAAGTTACTTATAAGCACAAGGACATGCCTAATTCGAAAATATCTCTGCTCAGGTCTTTTCCGTTACCGAGATAAGAGCATTATCCATAACCTTCATATGAATAACAAGTTTTCCCGATTGCTTCCTGTTCGATGTTCTCTTTCGACACGCGCTGTTTTAGCGCAGGCGAAGTATAATTTATTCTCTCTATATGCACTTGTTACATAAGAAAAGTTCCAAGTAAAAATAAGATTTTCACAGCAGCTTTATATAAAGGTATTTGAAGATCTATTTATTCTGACTCGTCGATCATTTATATTTTCATTTTCAAGAAGTATAAAAATAGAATGTTATGAACGCAGTAAAATGATGTTTCATTCTATACATATGAATGAAATAATTTACAAATAGAATAATATATTATTGTATTTGTACACTCCTTGAAAAGAGTAAATGTACTTTTGATCACCAAACAGTTTTAGATACAAATGATCACCAAAACAAGATACTTTTGATCGCCAAATTTTCCAGCATGCTCTCACGTTATTATTTCTCAAGAAAGTATAAAACAAAGTTTACGGAAAACGGTTGGAAAGGTGTGCCTTGCATTTATTCAACTACAAACGATTATTATGGAAATTGAAGCGGTCATAAATTCGAGACCTTTAGTTTACGTCGGGCGGATTTTGTATCTGGTTACGTCGGCACGTTTTCTTTGGTTAAATCATTAAGTTGGTACACCTGCTACAGAGATTACAGAATTGCAGATGAAGAGTACATCGGAAACATCACGTCGAAGGATTGAGTTTTACAAAATTAGAAAAAAGGTCAACGTCATATCGAACAGTTTTGGACTGTGTGGTGCAACGATTATTTACTTAACGTACGCAACGATTTTTGAGGCGGTCGCACTGTCGTTCGATTGAAATATCGAACGTAGGAGACCTCGTCCATGTTCGAAACGATGAATCTCGCGGCTCATGGCAATTAGCTTGTGTCATTAAAATTATTAAAAGTTCAGATGAACAAATACGTTTACCATCGGGCACGGTTTTAACGCGTGGACTTATGCATCTGTATTCGTTGGAATGTGACGAAAAGTTCGATATGATTGATGAACCAACGGAAATTAAAGCCGATAAAAACGAACCTTTAGTTCAACATCGTCCAGTACATAAAGCTGCTAAAAAGGCTTCAACTAAAATGCAACAATTACACGAACTTTCTGACTGAGTCTTATTATTACGAATAATTTATGCTTTTTTGCTCAAATTTGCGTACATGCTTTACAATTTTTGGTTGTCGGAGTGTTGCGAAGGTTCGCGAGTTTATTTTTCCGCGTTTTATCATAGGCAGTTTTTATGTTTTCGTTAGTATTTCTAACTGCCTATTGCATGCATGTCGATATGTTATTTGCTCTTACTCGTTAGTGTTCTTTTGTTCATCTTTAACATCAGGAAGAAAAGGGAACAAGACGAAGATAATTGTTGAGGCGGAGGTATAGAAAAGAAAGTAAAAGAATATAAAAGATTTTCTATCTTGTTAGTACACGTTTTGATAAAACTGGCTGCCTGTATTTTTTCGTTTGACATCGAAAAGAAGAAAGTTACCAGTGTATTTTGTTCAGTTGTCTTATGAAATCTTATAAGTTAGGACAACAAACGAAAACAGACCATTTTGTCAGATTATTTGAAACGAAAGAATTCTCTGTCGTAGATTATCTACTGCCTCTACGACATTGCGCATGAACTTTGATTTATTTTTTACTGACCAGATAACTGGTTTTCTGATCAGATTACTGAATTTTTGTGGCAAGTCACTGATTTCCACGAGGAACTGGACAAAAACCCCAAAAAGCAGATACTGATTTGCGATAAGACTAGTTACTGGTTTCGTGACCAGGATCCTGATATGCGCAACCATGTCGTCTGATCGCGCGAAAATGCTTTACAAAAGAAAACAAAAACCTTTGAAAATACTTACTACATACGTCTGATCGTTCACTTGGGTTAGTTTTTAACTTAAGTTTTTGGATGAAACTGTCTTCAGGCAGACAACCATTTTGTAAGACCCTACTCTCTAAAAAAAATCCGTAGCTTACTAAACGAATATCGGTTTGGGCATTTGCTCCTAATAGAAACCGCTATCCGTATCGTACGGTCCTGCATAACCGTTTCGCAGAATACGTTTCAACGTTTTTTCTCTGATACAAAACCTGAATCCGTTTCTTCACAAGGCAAAAAACGTTGAAGCGCATTCTGCGAAATGGTTACGCAGGATCGTACGACACGGATATCGGTTTCTATTAGGAGCAAATGCCAAAAACGCTATTCGTTTTGTAAGCTACGGATTTTTTTTAGAAAGTAGACTAAAGTCAAGGAAATAAAGAAAAAGATAAAAGAAATAACACTGTCCTGTGAATTATTTGGGCAAACTTTTCTGTTTTTTTCTCCTATAATTTCTCTTTTTCATGAAAAAATTCTTCCATAAAAGTTGAAAGAAAGCTAGAACTTTTGTTTTGTATCAAAGTGATGTAAGATTAACTTTTTGTAGATTATTAAATCCATTTCGAGTTTTCCAAAATCCATGAATAAAGACAACAAAATATAGAAATGGAATTCCACTAGCAGCATATTGAGCTATACTGTTAGCTGTAGTGATCCATATTGCCACGCATATAATCGCAGATATACTGCATAGACTATAGAAGATGGGCAGTATCATAAATGCAATATCCAACTTTTGATTATAAATTCTCCGTTGAGTATACAAATACAATGCCAGAGCGGTATGTAAAAATAAATAAATTACGATTAATCCAAACATGGTAAAAGCGCCAATTAAATGAGGAATACGATTCTTAGATACATCGACAAATGCCATTAGTAACATAAATACAATTGCTACAAAACCGACAGCTAATTGTAAATATAAATAAACGTTAATCCATAAACTGAATAATGGTTTAATAATATGAAGTAGATAGATATGTCTGCCAATTAGTATGCCAAATAATTGTAGTGCTAGTATGGCGACTCCAATAGCGAATAATCTATATGTCACACCGATACCCAACTGACTAATTTGTGGTAGATCATGTAAATCAAAATTGCGCTTACTATTACAAACAATCAGCGTAAGAATAAACGTAAAAACAGCTGATAATGGAAGAAGTACTAAAATATAATGCCAAATTCTACTAAGTAAATGATTACTCATATTTCATATTCGTAATAAAGTACAACAACCGAGGAAAGCTAAGAACAACGGAAAGAGAAATAAAAGAATAAAAGAAGGAAAATGTGTGCAAAAAAAATGTTTCTTTCTTTTTTGAGGGTGAGAAAAAAATTTTCTTATGATGTCGACATTTGATCTGATCAAAAAAAAGAAAGAAACATTTTTTTTGCACACATTCTCCTTCTTTTATTCTTTTATTTCTCTTTCCTTTGTTGTAGT